GGGGGGGGGGGGGGGGAACCAGGACAACCCCATCCACCAACAAGTAGGCAACACTAAATATCCAGAAAAAGTCACCTTCTTCTACAAGAGTGGCTAGAAACAATGCAATAGGGACCAAGAGTCTATAATCTGTGATCAAGAGAAAAAACTTCTGGTTTAACCCCTTTTCTTTTTTGAGTTTTTTTGTCTGGTTTGTTTGACATATGGTCTTGCTAAGTTGCCCAGGCCTCAAACTCACAAACCTCCTGCCTTGGTCTCTAGCACGCTGCGATTTTGCACCCACCTTTATGCCTGGTCTAGTTTAGCCTCTCTTTCCTTTCCCTTTCCTTTCTTTCTGAGACAGGGTGTCACCATGTAGTCAGACTGGCCTTGAACTCACAGTGATCCTCCTGCCTCAGCCTCCCGAGTGCTGGGACTACAGGCGTACACCACCATGTCCCTTTTCTAATGCTATTTCATTTGAGTCTCTAAAGGAGTAATGTGACCATGGAACTGCCACAATGCTATTCCCAGTAACTAATGCCTTATCACATAATGACCAGATGAGGGTTTAAAATAAGAGTTTACTACATATGCCAAAGACACAGGGTTCAAATGAGGGCCTCCTAAACTTCCTTTTATCAGGCTTGACCAATCCAGAGTTCTAGAAACATTTTATTTGCTTGTTTGTTTTTTGTGACAGCGTCATACTATGTAGCCCAGGCCAGCCTCAAACTCACTCTGATTATCCTGCCTCAGCCTCCTGAGTCCTAGGATTGTAGGTATGCACCGCTATGCCAGGTCCTAGAAATATTGTAAATCTATGTCAGCTACACAATTTCTCTTCTCATCCATTTTTCTACAAACTTAAGAAAAGACAAACTAGGCTGTGTTGTTATGAATGCTGACGAGAAGCCAGGTGTGGTGGTGCACACCTGTAATCCCAGCTACCTGCCAGGACTGAGGCAGGAGGATGGAAAGTCCAAGGCCAGTCTGGACAATCTACTGACAACCTGTTTTAAAGCAAAATTTTAAAAAAGGAAGGAATATGGGTTGGGAGGGGCTGAATGGGAAAGGAAAAAAAAATCAAAGGAGCAGCTCCAGCTTCTGAGGCTTTTTATGTCTAATTTAAAACAGAATAATCTTTCAGAGTAAAAACAAGAAACCAGCTGATGTCAACACAAGCTAGTTACTTTTAATATGTTTTAAAAAAGAAAACAACAGCTAAGACATCTGGTTACATTATACAGCCCATGTAACTTGGAGCAGTAATGCCCTGGGACCGAAAAAAACCCTGTGCCTGCTCTACAGAAAGGCTTCTGCAAGTTCTCTTTCTGAGGCATCGCTTTTTATCTTTCTTCCTTGAGTAAACAGCTGAGCATCCATCCTCAAAGAATGCTATCGTGCCCTGACCTGACGCTGCTAGGCTTGGGAAGCACATCACCTTCTTACCTGCAGGGATGTCACATAGAGCAAAGAGTCCAACTCGGACGTCTCCATTCACTGTCCATTTCTGTGTTTCACAATTTGGATTACAACTGTGGTTCATAAAACGAGAATAATTTCCTTTGGGGCCAGCGTCAATAATACGATCCTTCAGGAAGAGAACAAAAGAAAGATTTCTTTGACATTAAACTAAATAAAGCTGTTTCAGACATACCCAATTCAGTCCAGGCCACAAGGCAGCAGTGCCTTGCTACCAGCTGGTGTCTGACGATGATGACGCTGAACACGTGACACTCCCCGTGTCATTTACTTCGTTTTCTACTGTATTTGTTGAATTTCAAATTCAAATAATTAAAGTGGAATACAGTTTCTTTTTAAGCTTGCTTCTAGAAACAAACCTACCATAGAAAATGCGACTTAGATTAGTGGGCCAAATGGTGAAGGGTTTTCTGCTCAGAGCATTTAGCTCAGGTAACGACACTGGTGTCTTACTGTTGACCCTTCTTTCCCGCTCAAAGGAGAGAGCAAAACTATGGGGCGGGGGCAGGCTCAGACCACAAGGATATGAGAAGGAAAAGTGAGGAGGCTGGGAAGACTGGGATGTCAGCTTGATGGAGAGGCTGTTACCGTGTGGGACAGAGTTTCCAGTAGCGACCTGTCCTCTCCATTTTCACTTCCACTAAACAGCTCAACACTTTGGTGGCCTGGATTTGAACTCTGTCAACTGGGTGTTGAGGAGTGGCTAGGGGGCTGCTGGCCAGGAGGGCAGCATTTCAGGAGCCAGACTCCAGCATCATAAAAAATGGTGTTTTATTCTCATGAAATGTTTATGAAAACTGTAAAAATTTCTAACAATGACACACAGATTAAAATTCTTCTTTCAAATGATCTCTTACTTTTGTGTGTGTTAAGAGTTTTTAGGGGGTGATTCTGGGGATTAAAACCCAGAGCCACAAGTGTGATCAGCACACGCTGTACCACTGAACTACATCCCAGCCCTAATGCTATTCTGACACTTACATTAGAGACAGTCTGGAACAGAAAACATGGATATGACTCTTCTCCCTCTCCCTCTCCCTCTCTCTCTCTTCTTTTGAGACAAGGTCTCACTATGTAGTCCAGGTTGGCCTTGAACTCAGTGATCCTCCTGCCTCAGCTTTCTGAATGCTGGGATTACAAGTGTGCACCATCACAACGGGCCAGTCATGTTTCTTAAAACTTTAACAAGATACTCAACAAATCACTTATGCCTGGACCACAGTTTCTTGTCCTCTAGACATCAGAGGACTATTAAAAAAATTAAACAAGATAATGAACGTAATGTGCAAATACATACAGGTCTTACAATTACACTAGCAAACTGTAGGTTTCACTGTCATTTTTCTTGACAGCACTCATTATTTTTCCATCTCATTTAAAAAATGTTTTAACACACCAAATGATTTAGCGTTTTTGTTAAATCAGAAGTTTAACCATAGTGCTGATTCTCTCCTTCAATCTTGCAGCGACTGAGAAAACAGCTGGGACAGAAGACCAGATACATCACTCATGGTACTGTCTCATGATGTGACATGCAGGCCTCCCACACTGATTCACCTTGTACTTTTTTTTTTTTTCTTAAATGGTAGCAAAGTTTTATTAAAGGTAGGAAAAGAAACAGGCTCCACGGAGTAGTCTGGGCCAAGTAAAGTAGGAAAAGAGGTATGTATCCTTGCATGAGGGTGGCTATCCATGAGAGCACACAGTGGTCCTCTATCATACTCTATATAATAAACTTTCCAGTAGGCACATGGTGGCTACTGCAAATCATCATCTTGTTGAAAATAAATCAAAAGCAATTGAGTTCAACCTAAAACCATGAAACAAGAACAAAAAAAGTCTCTTTTTCTTACCAAAAAAAAAAAGGCAATTTTACCTTGGTAACAGTTAACATATAAAAATTAGTTACACTGTTCTCGTGAGCTCGCTTGATTCGAAGTCTGCATTCTTCTTCATCAATTAATTCACCAACATATTCATTTACAAATTCACCCTGTAGAGAAGCATGTAATATGTAACTGTAGTGTATTATATTAGAAGGCATTCCTTAACAATAGGTGCACAGGACCGGGGATTTAGCTCAGTGGCACAGCACCTGCCTCATAAGCTCAAGGTCCTGAGTTCAGTCCCCGGTACTGAAGAAGGAAGAAAAAAGAACAACTAAAAAGAATTAATTTTCTGGTTGGCTCGTTAGTTAACTGATCGAATCGGTGTCTCCCTATGCAGCCCGGGCTGCCTTTGAATTCACAGTGACCCTCCTGCCTCAGCCTCCCAGAGGCTGGGATTACATGCATGTACCACCATGCCTGGCTAACTAAAAATTCTGAAACCCTAATTTGAATCCTAGAAATAAATTGTTGCTATTCATTCATGGATAACTCAAGTGGTAACATTTTTCTTGTGCAAGTGCCTCAAAAGCTGCCAACCTGCTTGCCTTTTTCTCAGTGACAATATTTCTACAGTGCAGCTGCAGCAGCTGTACTGAGACCTGAGGACACAGCGACCCCAGCCTCTGATGCTGGTATTGTCAGACTGTTACTAGTTGTACTGTGTGTGTGGTCACCAGTAAGAACTACAAAGGATCTAAATCTGAAGCAAATCAGCTCAGCCTTTACCGTTAAATTTTAAAAATCATTAGATATTCACAGGAAGTTAGAGAAGTAGTGCAGGGATCTCTGTCCCCTTCAACTTCCTCCAAAGGTAGCACTGCGCAGATCTACTGCATAATAGGAAAACCGGAAAAGTGACACTGGCACAATGAAGACATGTGCCTGCTCCTGCACCTGGGACTGCAGGGTTACACCTGTGCAGGTGTTAGTCACCCTCCTCACCTGCTCCAGCACCCTGAGACCACTCATTGGGTAGGTCTCCATCACAGCACAACGGTCTGCAAGTGCAATCGCACAACACGCAGCCAGGAGACTGCCTTTATTTTTGTGAGACAAAGTCTAGCTATGTAGTTCAGGCTGGCCTTGCACTCTTGGCAATGCTTCTGTCTCGGCCTCCCGAGTACTAGATTACTAGGCATCGGGCCGGCTTCAGATAGTCTTTTAAAAACAACAAAAAAGCCTCAGGCTAATTTCCTTGAGATTAATACAAGCTGTGTGCATCAATGGTTTGTTTTTAATGCTGAGTGGAACTCACAAAATTTCACAATGGATGTACCACAGTTTACCTACTTACCCACTGAAGAACAGGTGGCTGGTTTTCGGATTGGGGTTATTACTACAAATAAAGTTGCAAAGATCATTCTGGACAAGTTTTCATGTGGATATACACTTTCATTTTTCTGGAATAAATGCCAGGAGAATGATTTTCTTGTTGATTTTTGGAGAAACTGCCAAGCTATTTGCGTAGAGGGGGATAATAAGCCAATGTTCTTATCAGTGTTTATTTTCTCTTTTTTTGGGGGGGAGGGGTGTTGCTGTGTAGTTGAAGCTGAACTCACTAGAGAGCCCAACCTGGCCTCAAACTTACTATAATCCTCCTGCCTCAGCCTCTGACGTGCTGGAGTTATAGGCATGCGCCTCTGTGCCTGGCCTCTCTCTACTGAGAAAAATAGATCACTCCTTCTATATTAAGAGAAGCCAAGGGCAGAGTTGGAAGGGCCAACCCAACCTTGTCCTCTGGCAGTGTGCTGCTGATGACATGGATGTGAGACACCAACTGGCTTCAAGGAGGGCGTACTCATGTCCTCTGGGCAGTGGTTACCACAAAAGCTCACCAGCCTTTTCTCTCTTGCAATTTTTATTTATTGCACAAGCGGTAACAAAGAATTAGGCTAAAAAAAAATTCATTCATTGTGGCAACACTATCAGCAGAAGAATTAATCTTTTCCCCTTTTCCTTTCAGTTCATGCTCATGAAGGCCTTAGTGTCCTGCACGTTCACATACGATGTCTCTTACCCTCAAACGGCTTCTTCTCACCTGGAGGGTCTACCATTAGCCGCTGGACACTAGAGTGCCTGACACAATCACAGCCCTGGGTGCCACAGGGTGCACCGCCACTTTCTGTTACTATATTTAGCTATTTTATGGCAACATTTTTCTCCACTTCTTTATTATTGCATGTTTGCAATACATAATAAATTAATTCATTGCAGAGAATCAGTATATATACATATCACATCTTAAGTAAGATGGCATTTTCTTTCTTTCTTTCTTTTTTTTGTTTTTTTGTTTTTTTGAGATAGGGTCTCACTATGTATGTAGTTCAGGCTGGCCTTGAACTCATGGTGATCTTCCTGCCTCAGTCTCCCAAGTGCTGGGATTACAGGCATGTGCTAAATTTGCTTTAATTGTAAAATTTTAGGGAGAATTTCAATCAAATCACCTCCACTTCATGCTTTCCACATATTGAGAGTCAAAGTAAGATTTCAGTTGAAGAAATAATCTTGTGGCTTCAAAAGCATAATAACTATTTATATTTATTATTGCATGGACGCAAGTGAATACAGAAAAATTACAGTGCTAATATCAGATATAAGGAGTATAAGACTCAAACCCAATACTACTATGAAAAACAACAGAAATATTTCAGATGTTCTGAAAATAACAAAAATCTTCAACCTCAAAGAACTGATCACTGGACTTAACCATTAACTACAAATTAAATTGTGAACAACAACAGTAACAACAAAAAACAAACTAAGGAACTTTTAAAAAATGCTACAAATCTGTCCTAAAAAAACTACAGCAAAGCTCGGGGGTGTGGTGCAGTGGCAGAGCACTGACATGCTGAGCAAACATGAGTTTCCAGGTTCAATTCCTAGCATCCAGAACAAACAAAACAACACAACACAACACAACACAGACTGGGGATCTAGCTCAGTGGTTCTGCCACCTGCTTTGCAAGCCCAAGGATCTAAGTTCGAACCCTGGTACCAAAAACAAAACAAAACAACAAACCTGTGGTAAAAATATGGCAATTAAATACCTAGTACTTTTATTTAAAAATTCTGAGAAAGAGAATCTGGGAGTGTGGCTTAGTGGCAAGGATGTACACAGGTGTGAGGCCCTGGGTTCAAACCTCAGCACCCCACAAGACACTTTCCACAGGAAATCACTTCGGAACAGGAAGTCGGTCACACACGTGTGGGAATGTGTTACGTGTGAAGAGAAGAGCACTGTGGACATTCAGTCTCATACTGGTGGGGAGTAAACCCAGGATGCCCTGCTACCTATCTGTGAGACAGCGTCTCACTAGGTTGCCCAGGATATCCTTACACTTGCATTCTTCCTGGCTGGGTCTCCTAAATAGGGTTACAAATGTGTGCTTCTGCACTCAGCTGTATTTGGCCTCTTTATGGTACATGTATCAAAAAAATTTTCCACATTGCTACGAAGTCTTTATGATTATGCTTTTCTTTTCTTTTCTTTTGGTACCAGGGATTGAATACAGGACCTTGCACTTGCAAGGCAGGCACAGTGCCACTGAGCTAAATCCCTGGCCCTGATTATGCTTTTCAATTACTGAATACGTCTAGCTATTCTGTAAAAGAACAACTGTCTTCATTAACAATCCCTCAAGTGCAAAAAAAGAGAAAAGCCGGGCATGGTGGCGCATGCCTGTAATCCTAGCACTTGGGAGGCTGAGGCAGGAGGATCTCTTTGAGTTCGAGACCAGCCTGCGCTACATAGTGAGTTCCAGGTCAGTCTCAACTACATAGTGAGACCCTTTCTCAAAAAAAAAAAAAAAAAAAAGAAAAAAAAAAAAAAAAAAGCAAACTGTATTTTTGTCTTGATTATATTACTTATTTTATTTTAGAATAAATGCAACTACTATTAAAAAGCTAGCAATGTGAAACTTGATGGATTTCAGGATGCCATAAACTCTTCAAAATATCATAAATTTATGTGTGATACACATGACATTAAAGTAATCTTTTTCGCATTAAATAACAACATTTTATACATGCATGTGGCCTCTAACAAAGCAACCTAATCCACATATCCAATGCACTTGCATTCTGCTTGTTCGACCTTCAACATTTCAAAACCCAATCACTTCTCCCTGCTTGCCTACGACACTAGTGGTTGGTCGCATGCCAAATCCCGCTCTCCACTGGTCTTTTTTTTTTCTTTCCTGGTACCGGGGATCAAACTCAGGATTTGTAGGCACAGCACCACTGAACTAAATCTCCAGCTATTGGTCTTTTTATCTCTCCTCCTCTCAGAAATCCTGCACACTCGAGCCATAATTATCCTCTAAAATCCAAATGTGGCAGACAAACTCTCAAGAGGACCACAGGACCCCTGTCTCCTGGTGCTCCTGCCATCGTACAACCCTCAACCCTGAGTGTGTAGGACCTATGATTTGCTTCTAGCCAACAGAATAGGGCAAGGCTGGTGGCAGGTGTAATAGGCTGTGGTGTCAATTTGAATAAGAAACACCTAGTGAATTTGGCACAGACCTGGGTGCCTGCATGATGGACTTACTGCAGAGGGAAGACCCACACCAGATGTGGGTGGCACCAATCAACAGGCTGGAGGCCTGGATCCCATAAGAAGGAAAAGGAAGGCTCGCTTCTGCTGCTTTGGAAGAGCTCCAGTCTTCACTGTCACCACTGGACATCGCCTCCAGTCTTCCAGTGCAGACTCTGGCTTTCTGATAGGGACTCAGAGTGGACTTCACAGTGGGCTCCAGGCCTTTGACCTGTGACTGGGATATTCCAGCTCTCCAGTGTGCAGATGGTCCTTTAGTATTTTTCCACCTCGACTGCAGGTGGCCACTGTAAGCCTACCTCATAAATCCTTTATATTTCACATATATGTTTTACATTAAATCTGTTCCTCCAATGAACCCTAACTAATGCAGCATGTTATGTGCTTATTATGTGACTTCAACACATGAGGACTCAAGTATCTGCTTTGCTGTAGTCTCTCCCCTGCTAGCTGTAAGAAAACACAGACCTACGTAGGGAACCTTAGGTGGCAAGGAACTATGGATAACTCCAAAGGAGAGTGGTGTCAAGCCAATGGCAAGAACCAGCCCCTGAAAACTGCACAAAGAAGCATCTTGAGGATCTCAGACCTACAGCTACACAGAACAGTTCTGCCAACAACCATGCGAGCAGGAAGTGGATCTGTCTCTAGCTGAGCTACAAACTGTCCATCAGCCCTGTAGGAAACTTCAACCTCAACCCTGTGAGGTCCTGAGGACAGGACCCAATTAAGCATTACCTGGACTCTTGCCCAAATAAACTGTTACATTTTAAGTTGCTAACTTTGTGGGTATATTGTTATATGGCAACAGAAAACTATTATAACTTAGGGTATGGTGGCACATGCCTGCAGCCCCAGTTACTTTGGAGGCTGAGGCAGGAGGATCACAAGTTCAAGAAACTTAGACCCTCTCTCAAAAAATGAAAAGGTCTGGGAATGTATCTCACTGGTAAAGTGCCTGAGTCTGATTCCCCCCTCCTACAGTACCTCCACACATGAAAGACAAAAAAAGAAAAAGAACTCACTCACTCACTCACATATCAAGCCAGACCAGGTCACTTCCTATCAAAACCCTCGGAAAGGTTCCCCTCTCATGGCCAACAGGAGCCACAGCCCAGCTCATCTCCAAGCTGCCCCTCTTCCTGGATCAGGAGCTTGTCTGCTGTCCCTGAACACAGTGGGCCTTGGGCCGAGCCTTTGTTCCCCATCTGTATGGCTTTTACTTTACACATTCAGGTCAAATACTGCCTCCTTGGTCTGTCCAAAACCCAGCCATCTAAAATAACGATCCTGTCACCAGCTGTGTCCTTTCACTACTTTTTCCTGCCAGCACTTAGTGGAATTTAACAAAGTTCTGTTTGCTATCACGTAAACAGGGAAGGGCTTTGTGTCTTGTTTACTATTATTTCCAAAGTGCCTAGATGGTACTTGGTACATAAGAGAAGATCAAATATATACTGAATGAATAGAAAGAGGTACATAAAAATAACTGACCAACAATGTTTATTACAGAATGACTTATCCAGGAATTGGCTAAATAAATCACGGTGCATTCTGCTATAGACTACAATAAGGATATTAAAAAGAATGAAGTCAAGGCAAGGTGTGGCGGTGCGTGCCTGCAATCCCAGCGAAGGCCCAAGTGGGAGCAACACTGCACGGCTGAGTGGGGTCAAGGCCAAACTGAACTGCACAGTGAGACCTATCTCAGAAAACCAAACCAAAACAAAAGAGACTAAGAATGAAGTGAGATCTACGTCAGAAATGTATATGATATTTTTTTTAAATGGAAAAAATAATACGATCATACTTACGTTGAGAAAACCTTACAAATATAGAATGTTTACTTTTAAGGGGTTTTTTGTTAGTAAATATTTGTAACATAACGATCACTTTCCTCACAGAGAGTTGGTTTATGTTTTTACATTTATCACTGCACAGAAAAAGGTTTAAAGGGCTCAGACCAAATCATTAACAACGATTCTCTCTGGGGAGGAGGCCTGGAACTGTAGGGATGAAGGAAGAGTTTCATCTACCATCTTTCTGGTATTGACTTTACTATCCTAGAAAGTATTTTCGTATTACAAAGGTAATTTTATAAAAGGCAGAAAAATAAGCATAAGGACCCAAGTTCAATCCCTGGTACCACTCCCCACAAAAGGCAGAAAAATGTCAAGAGTAATTTCAAATTCCCATTAGGTCTCCGTCTCTCAGTGAATATACTTCCGAGTTCTGTGTAGCAGAGGCACAAGGCAAAGAGGGGTGAGAGTGGAATGGGGTAGAGGACTTGTTTTAAAATTCTAGCCCTGTGCCAGACCCAATTTAGCAGGACACCGTTTTTAACACGGATCTCGGAAGATCCTTGGGAACTCTAAAATTTGAGAGCCACTCTCTGAATAGGATTTACTAGTGATATTTATTTTCCTTTGGCTTATTGTGGGAGCCCGCTGGCATTTGACATTGGAAAAGTAACTTCTTCTACCATTGAGGCATTGACACAATCTATGACTCTATTTGGCTTTTCTGAGATGAGGGTCTCAGCTATGCAGATGAGATTGACCTGGAGCTCTCTGTGTAATCCAGGCTGAGCTCACTGTGTAATCCAGGCTGGGCATATGGGATTATCCAGGCTGGGTTTATGGGATTACGGGTGTTGACCTGGAGCTCACTGTAATCCAGACTAGTTTTATGGGATTACGGGTGTGCACCACCACGCCCGGCTCAAGGACTTTGTTAAATTTGACCTTTGATCTCCTCCCTAATATTGCTTGATGTTTCCTGTTGGCGTGCCTTTAAAAGGAGCTGTTTCTGTGTAATAAATGGGACCTCTTGTCTCCACACTATTGAGTGTGCTGTCCTTTCTCAATCCTCACTCCCCAACTCAGGTACGTTCGTGTTGTGACGGCCGGACCGCCACAGCTTATTTGCATTTAATTTTTTTTCTACAATGGGCATAAGTTTTTATGTTAAGAGACTGCTTTGGAAAACTGTATCAAAGTATAAAAATGTGAGGCTGGGCGTGGTGGCACATGCCTGTAACCCCAGCACTCGGGAGGCTGAGGCAGGAGGATCACTATGAGTTTGAGACCAGCCTGGGCTACATAGTGAGTTCCAGGTCAGTCTCAACTACATAGTGAGTCCCTGTCTCAAAAAACAAAAAACAAAACAAAAAAATGTGGTCATCCCGTCTCTCAGGAGCTATTCCTGTTCCCCAATAAACTTTCCAATTCAAAAAAGAAAGAGATGAGGGACTGAGGCTGAAGGAAATTAAGAAACTTGGCAATATATTTATGGCTAATGAATTAAGATGTTGGCTTAAAGTCCAGGGTCTCTATTCTAGTACATTCTTAATTTTCCTGTAATGCCTTTATTGAGAATTTTACATTAGGTTATTAAACAAGTTTAAAAATATTTCAAGTAGAAAATTACAAATGTCTCTTCTTTTTATGAATAAGACTCTTAAAGTTTATGTACATTTTATTCTATCCTATTCCTACCATTTTCATTGCTATTTTGTTTTTTGATTTTCTTGAGAGAGCCTTGCTACGTAGCTCACGATGGCCTTGAACTCACTGTGCAGCCCAGGCTGGCCTCAAACTGGTAGTGACCCTCCTGCCTCAGTCTCCTGAGTGCTAGGATTACAGGCTTGTGCAGTCATGCCCAGCCAGTCCCCCCAAATTTTATTCCTAGGATCATATTAAAGCACTCCTGAACAACACAGGTCCTGGTCTGTCCCACCCAGACCTGTCTCCCTCCGTTCCATGCTACCTTCTTGATGCTCCTTTTGGTCCTGAGGCCCCAGCCTCTCCGCTCTGTTCTGATGATCTCTGCATCTGGGTAGAGCCTCTTTGTAAAGCACTGGTTCTGACAACGGTCTCCAGCTGGGCACACTTGCGGATGACACTCATATTGCAACATTCTGTTCAGACACTCTGATTCCAAGCCACAAGGATTCTCATCAGCAGGCTTGCAGTTACAGCGGGGGATCTCTGACAGGTCAGCAACGTGGATCTGAACCTTCCCTACTACTTTGTTAGCCTAGAAAATGAAATCACAAATGAGAAGGAGGTAGAAGATAAGTACACTGTTAGCAATTTGAACAGGAACATCGAAATCACCATAAACACCCAGGCTATTTTGGCTTCTACCGTGTGGTTAAGTTCCCCAGAAATAAGCTAGTAATTATCTCTCATTAAATATTAAAACCTGATGTGTGCTTTCACATACTTACTCAGTGTATTTCTCTCTCCACTGTTTGACAGAAATTTCCCAACTGAAAATGTGCTTGTCTGTGGGCACTCTGCAGTAAAGGGGCTAAATACCTATATTTTCATTTGGTTCCAGGATAACCTAGTGGGATTTCACATAAGCCATGTTGACCCTAGGAATGAGGGGATTTCTCAGATCTCAGAGCCCTGAAGCTAGGGCTCCGTGTGACGCTTCCAACAATCAGTTGATTTCACAGAAGACTGGTTGATAACTAGCAGAAACTTCCACCAAAGAGAGCCTTTAACTACTGAGAAAGAACTGCATTTCATCTTTCCTACCAAGAATCAGTTTTTTTATGAGTAAACTCACTTTGATGTGTTTGTAAGGAGGAGGTTTTCTTGAGTTTTTTTCAACCTCTAACGCTTCTTTACTTTCTCTTTGTGCTTTCAATTCCTGGAAACGTTTTGCAGCTTCTTCCAGTGCTGACAGTAACAGCAAACAAAGTACGTAATTATAAAAACAGTAATAATAATAAACCCACAAACACACGATCAGATAGGTTTATACCACCTTTCCATTGCCCTGTATTTGACCCAAATGTGCTTTTTCAAATTCTATCGTGTAGTTTACTATTTGCCACCAGCGTAGGCCTATTTCTGACTAGGATGTAACTCAGGGACACTCTGGCTCTATGCACACTGCTGCCTCAAGAGCAAAGGCCCCACTTCCATGACAAGAGACCCCCAGCTACTGACCTTGTACTAGGTTTAAATTTATTTTACCCTTGTCCAGAAAGCCACACTTCCTAGCAACACACTGAAAAAGTCGTAAGGTTTTTTACTACCCTTCTGTGATAAAGGCGCTTCACTAAGATTATTCCCCTAACCAGGTGCAGTGTGTACACCTGTAATCCCAACAGCACTCTGAGCGGCTGAGCTAGGGGAATCATGTTTGAACTCAGCCCAGGCATCTTAGCCACTCAGAATATCCTGTCCCCGTCAAAAGGCAGGGGCGGGGGAGTGTAGCACAGTGCAAAAGGTCTGAGATAAATCCCCAGTACTGGGAAAAGAAAAAGAAAAAGAAAAAAAAAAAAAAAGAAAGAAAATTCCCAATATAATCTTTGTTTGTAGGAAGACTACTAAGAAACTCCTTTCACACATACAGCATTGTCTATTATAATGAAATGCATTTCAAACTTGGTTATAATGTGATCAGAGGCTTATGGATGCAGGAACATGGTGTCCATGAAAATTCTTTAATATCAAAAATGGCACATGCAAGTGAGGAGATGCTGACAAACCCACATGGAGCCTTAGTTCAAAGTCACTTACCTTTCTTAAAGGTCTTGTTAATACTAGTCTGCCCGTCAGCAAAGCTTTTGTCTCCTTCAACGTACGGGAACACTCTGCCTTGGTGCACCCAGTAGTAGTCATGAGAACCAAAGAAGAACACAGGGAAGTCTCCTAAGTCATGTTTAAGGCCCTGGATGTTCAGTGGTACAGACCTGGGATTGCAGATCTCTGCAGGCCACCATCTGAAAACAAAGTCAATTTTAGACTAAGAAAATGGAAAATCATGCTATTTTTTACAAGGAGGCTAGGAAAGGGCAGGGGGTGTGGGAGGGAGGGAGGTCTTATAGTTTGCAATTTTCATTCAGATTCTAAGAATATAAAACATTTTATCTTTAATTCACCCAAACCACACATAATTGGAAAGCATATTATTTGTTCTTTTGTTTTTTGAGACAGGGTCTCACTGTGTAGTTGAGTCTCACCTGGAACTCACTATGTAGCCCAGCATGGTCTTGAACTCACAGTGATCCTCCTGCCTCAGCCTTCTGAGTGCTGGGATTACAGGCGTGCGCCACCACGCCCAGCTTGAAAACATATTATTAACTAATAACATACTAATTTTTTTTTTTTTTGAGACAGGGCTTGCTATGTAGCTGAGGCTGGCTTTGACCTCCCTATGTAGCTCAAGCTGGCTTTAAACTCACAGCAATCCTCCTGCCTCAGCCTTCCAAATGTTGGGATTATAGATTTGTGCCACTGATAATTAACAATAAGCAGCAGACTAAACAAAGTAGGCCATGAACATTGTATCTAGTTTATTTCTTCAAAAAATATTTGACATTTATGAAATACATGTCGTGAAAATGTTATACAGCATAATTCTCAGTAACACTGAACCCTCTGCACAAGAAGTGACATGTTACCAGTATTATTCCAAACCAATTTTATCCTAGAAAAATCATGTTTTTCTCTTAGAATTGACATACTTAATATCTTTGAAGGTATAAAAGATTATCTTTGAAGAGGTAAGAGTTCATTTCTAATAGTCAAGGGAATAATTTTGAGAATAAATTAACACCACAGTAAAGAATGATATTTCCCTTCCAAATCAGCATTTTCGGAATCTCTAATTAAACAGGGCAAACACCGTTTGGTCAAGTGTATTAGATTTTGCATCCACTGATTTCAGAATCTAATTAGATCCTAATAAGTATGGGATACAGGCAGAGTGAAATCATTACCATTTCACTCTATGATAACTGAATACTACAAGCAATAAGTAAATGAAACTACCTTTAATGTTTGACAATTTCCAGCAACTAGACAAGCCAGCAACTAAATAGTGAAGCTTCTTTTTTTTTTTTGGAGGGGGGAGTGGGTACCAGGGATTGAACTCAGGATTTTGTGCTTGCGAGGCAGGCATGGTGCCACTGAGCTAAATTCAAGGTCCCAGTGAAGCCTTTTTTTGTGTGTGTGGTACTGAGGAGCAAACTTGGGTCCTTGAGCTTGTGAGGCAGGCGGGCAGAACCACTGAGCTAAATCCCCGGCTCTTCAGTGAAGCTTTTTAAAGGTCAAAAAACAAGGCTGACCATAGTGATCCTCACAGGGTCCTTTGTTATAAATAACACCATCAATATGAAGAGTAAACACGCATAAACTTGAATTTTTCAATCTCTTATTTTACATATGCCTAATAAGACTATTTCTCTCTCTCTTTTTGTATTGGGGATTGAACTCAGGACCTTGCACTTGCTATACAGGTGGCCACACCACTAAGCTAAATCCCCATCTCTTTTTAAAAAAACTTTATATATATATATATACACACATATTGGTACCGGGGATCGAAATTGGGTCCTTCCGCTTGTGAGGCAGGCGACCAGAACCTCTAAGCTAAATCCCCGGTCCTTTTAAAAACTTTTATTAGTGTATATTTGCAGTACATAATGACTGCATTCATTATAGGGAATTGGTACATGTACATAACACATTTCAATTTTCTTTTTTCCCCCTTCCCTAAGTCTATTTCTTTAACAAATCACTGTACCATTTAGAAGATAAATAACATGGTTTCATTCCCAGATTTATGTGTTAGAAAATGAGTATGTGTCATCTAAAAGGCTCCTTGCTGTCTATCTAAGAATTAATACCATGGGGCCGAGCTCAGTGGTTCTGCTGTCTGTCCCGCAAGCACAAGGACCTGAGTTAGAGCAGCTAGAAAATAGTTACTCTATACTTATTTTAAAGCCATTTTAGGGTAATTAAGCATGAACACGACTGCAGCGTGGAAGGGTTGGTCAAGAAGAGACACTTTCTGTGAGGGTTGTTCCAGGTGACCGTACTTTCCTACTTACTGAAAACAAACAGCTGCACACAGCCACCACTGGCCCTGACTAGACAGATATCTATCTAGTCAGAACCAGTTCATGGTAGCTGGGCCTGGTGGCACACATCTGTAATCCCAGCACTTGGGAGGATGAGGCAGGAAGATCGCTGTGAGTTCAAGACCAGCCTGGGCAACATAGTGAGTTCCAGGTCATTCTCAACTACATAGTGAGACCCTGTCTTGAAACAACAACAACAACCCCCCCAAAAAAGAACCAGTTCGTGGACAAAAGTCCTTCCAAAACATACACAATGGATCTGAACTAGACAGAAAATCTTACTGGACTATGAACTGAACTAGAGCAAAGGTTTGGGCTTCCTTAAATGTAGTGTGATTAAAATTTAAGTATAAAAAGTTAAATTAAGTAAAAGGACATTTTCATAGTCATGACTATAAAAAAATGCCATGAAATTTACTGAAAGATCTGAAGGGTTCTTACATTGTTTCAGTTATTTCTTATCTAAGAATCCCCCTTCCCAATACTGAGGATTGAACCCAGGGTCTTTGCACTGAGTCACATCTTCAACCGTTTTTTTTTTTTGAGACAGTGTTATGAAGTTGACCAGGTTGGCCCTGAAACTGTGATCCTCCTGCCTCAGCCTCCAGAGTAGCCTACATTACAGGTATGTGCCAATGCAGCCGGCTCAATAATGTCTTTCTAGGGTCCAGGGATACAGCTCAGTGGTTCTGCCACCTGCCTCACAAGTGCAAGGACCTGAGTTTGATCCCGGGTACCAAAAAAAAAAATAATGTCTTTCTACTGTTTAACTGTGTACCTTTCCCACTCCAGAAAGAGAAAGAAATTAGAACAGAAGAGAAAAGAAAGGGAGGGGAGGGGAGGGAAGGCAAGGCAAGGCAAGGAAAGATACATTATGAGGGCTGGGGATCTAGCTCAGTGGTTCTACCGCCTGTCTTGAAAGTGCAAGGTCCCGAGTTCAATCCCTTGTATCAAAAAAAAAAAAAAAAGAATGGGTTTATTTTAAAAGTTAAAGCATATCAAAATATCACACTGGGGCCAGGGATATAATTCAGTGGTGCCATGCGTGCCTAGCAAACACAAGATACTAATTCAATCCTCAGTAACCCCCAAAATCACACTGTACCCCCTCAATTTGTACTGTTATTATGCACAATTAGTAAAAATTTAAAAGCTCAAATGCAGAAAACAGAAAAGTAAAATTGCCTCCCCCTGTAATTTCATCCCTGAGACTATTAACATTAAACATATTTCTTTCCAGTTATTTAAAATGCATCATACCCAGATCTACACTTAAAGGGGCCAAGACAGGAGGATCAGCTAAGCCCAAAAGTTCGAGATCAGCCTGCCTTTATAGGGAGACCCTGTCTCAAAACCAAAAAAACAAACAAAAAATGTGGAAACATTACACACATTTAGTGTGCCTTTTAAACTCAATTATATTTCATAGATATCTTCCTATGGTACTGTACACACCCTAATTACCCTTTGTTGGGTTTATGCTAGTCTACAATATAGATGCACTATAAAACTTATTTGACAAAGCCTCTAAGCATTTGGGTTATTTCAAATTCTTGAATTTAGAAATAATATTGAAGTAAACATGCCGTTAACTGCCGTCTAGCTTTTTTGGGGAAGGGCAATCTCACTGTGTAGTCCAGGCTGACTTCAAACACTCAGTCCTCCCGTCTCAGGCTCATGCTGGGGCTGACACGAATGTGCTCCTACGCCTAGGCTCTCCCTTTTCCCTTTAGGTAAACCCCACAAAGTAAAGTACTGCTGTCACAGCTCTAATATGTGACACCAGACTGCCCTCCAAGAATCAGTCTTTTCTCCACGCCCTCACTGGACTCAAAGTTATCAATCTTTTAAATATTTTCCAATTTTTGGGGGGTGGGATCAAACTCGGGACCTTGTGCTTTCGAGGCAGGTGTGGTTCCAGAGCTAAATCCCCGGCCCTGAAAAAAAATTTTTTTTAAATGTGCCTTTGTTTTTATTAAGGCTGAGAATATTTTTATGATTATTTTCTTCTTTCTTCCTTTCTTGTACAGTATCTGTCTTTTCTTACTAAACAGAGAAGGGAAATACTTTTCTTCAGGTTGATGATATCACCCTTTGAAACTGCTGATACCTTTTGCTACAGAATAGAAAATTATTCATGTATTCAAACTATCACTTTTTAGGACTAAGAAGTATCTTGTCATGTTTTTTTAAAAGTCAGCCTTAGAAAATGTACCCCAAAAAAAGGAAAGAAAGAAAGGGCAAGAGATGGAATCACTATGTCTTTCTGTCTTTTTTTTTGAGGCAGGGTCTCACTTTCTAGTTCAGGCTGACTCTGAACTTACTATGTAGCCCAGGCTGGCCTTTAATTCATAGTGATCCTCCTGCCTCAGCCTCCCAAGTGCTGGGATTATAGGGGTGCATCACCACACACAGCTATAGTGATGTCTTATATACATGTACCAACTCCCCACAAGGAATATAAATATTATGTACTAATAAAGAAAATGAACTGAAAAAAAGTGAGCATCAACATTAATGCCCTGATCCCAACTAAAAATGAAGTTTTAAAATTAAATAAGTAAAACAAGCAGCATAAGACAGAGAAGACAACCTAGGTCTTGCAACAGCAAAAAAAATTCAATATGGTTGAAAAAGTGCTTAATATATTTTGCTTAGGATTCTAATTGAAAGGCAGATAATCTTTATGGTGTTGTCCTGACCACTATCTATTTTCTAGAAAATTATAAATATATGTCTCAAAATGTGGAGTTTCAAAAATACACTGTAATGGAAGGGGAAAAATAAAGTTTATTAAAAAACAAATTGTTCTAGGGCCAGGGATTTAGCTCAGTGGTTCTGGTGCCTGTCTCACAAGTGCAATGGCCTTAAGTCGATCCCTGATACCAAAAAAAAAAAAAAAAAAAAAAAAAAAAAAAAAAAAAAAAAAAAAAAAAAAAAAAAAAAAAAAAAAAAAAAAAAAAAAAAAAAAAAAAAAAAAAAAAAAAAAAAAAAAAAAAAAAAAAAAAAAAAA